TGACAACGAGGGGGGAGAGGGGAGAGATGAGAGTAGAAAGGGTAGATGGACGGGGGAAGAGAGAGTAGGGGTAGAGAGGGAAGGGTGGGAGAGAGGAGAGACAGGTAGATGGACGGGGGAGGGGGGAAGAGAGAGAAAAGGGTAGAGGGACGGGGGAGGGAGGGATAGAGCGAAGGGTTAGATGGACGGGGGAGGGGGGGGAGAGAGAGGACAGGGTAGATGGAAGGGGGGGGGAGGGGGGAGAGGAGAGACAGGGTCGATGGAACGGGGGAGGTGGGAAGAGGAGAGACAGGGTAGAGGAACATGGTGGGGGGCGAGACAGGGTAGATGGACAGTGGTGGGGGAGCGCAGACCCAGGGTTGGTCTTAGATGGACAGGGTGGGGGGTGAAGAGACAGGTAGATGGAAAGAGGGGGGAGTGAAGAGAGACAGGGTAGTGGACGGGGGAAGAGAGAGATAGGGTAGATGGACAGGGGGGAGAGAGAGAAGGGTTAGAGGACGGGGAGGGGGGAAGAGAGAGAAGAGAGAAGGGAGAGAGAGACAGGGGAGATGGAAGGGGAGGGGGGGAGAGAGAGAACAGGGGAGATGGACAGGGTGGGGGGGGGCGGAGAGAGACAGGGTAGATGGACGGGGGAGAGAGAGACAGGGTAGATGGACGGGGGAGAGAGAGACAGGGTAGATGACAGGGTGGGGGGGAGAGAGCAGGGTAGGATGGACGGGGGGAGGGTGGAGAGAGAGACAGGGTAGAGGGACGGGGGAGGGGGACGACGGGGGGGGACGGGAGCGGGGGGAGAGAGAGAAAGGGTAGATGGAAGGGGGAGGGGGGATTGATGAGAGAAAGGGCTAGATGGAAGGGTGGGAGGGAGACGAAGCAGGGAAGTGGACAGGGTGGGGGGGAGAGAGAGACAGGGTAATGGACAGGGGGAAAGAGAGACAGGGGGAAAGCGGAAGATGGAAGGGGTGGGGGGAGAGAGACGGGTAGATTGACAGGGTTTGTGGGGGGGAGAGAGACAGGGTAGATGGACGGGGGGGAGGAGAAAAGGGTGAGAGGGACAGGGGCGGAGGGGGGGAGAGAGGACATGGGGCGATGGCACGGGGGAGGGGGGGTGGGGCGAGAGGGGAAGATGGAAGGGGGGGGGGGGGGGGTAGAGGGAAGGGGGGGGGGAGAGAGAGAAAGGGTGAGAGGGACGGTGCCGGGGGGGGGAAGAGAGAAGACGAGAAAGGGAGACGGGGAAAGGTGGGGGGGGGGAGAGAAAGGGGAGATGGATCAGCGGTGGGGGGGAGAGAGAAGAGAGAGGAGAGAGCGACAGGGGTTAGATGGACAGGTTGGGGGGGGACGAGAGAAAGGGGAGATGGACGGGGGGGGAGGAGAGAGAGACAGCAGATGACGACAGGGTAGATGGAAGGTGGGAGAGAGAGAGAGAGAGACAGAGGAGATTGACCAGGGTGGGGGGAGAGAGACAGGGTAGATAGATGGACGGGGGGGGCGGGGGAGAGAGGACAGGTAGATGGACGGGGGAGGGGGAGGGGGGAGAGGAGAGACAGGGTAGATGGACGGGGAGGGGGGAGAGCAGAGACAGGGTAGCTGGACAGGGGTGGGGGGGGAAGACAGGGTAGCACATGGACAGGGTGGGGGGGGAGAGAGACAGGGTAGATAGACAGGTGGGGTGAGGGAGAGAGACAAGGGAGATGGGGACAAGGGGCACTGCAATATTCAAGGGAGCGGGAGTGATGGTCCTGCGGGAGAGGAGGGGGAGGGGGGAGGGGGGGGGGGAAGAGGGGGAGAGAGACAGGGTTAGATGGACGGGGGAGGGGGGAGGAGAGAGACAGGGGGTAGATGGACAGGAGAGGAGGGGGGGGAGAGAGAGCAGAGAAAGGGGACGAGGGAAAGGGGGGGGGGAGGAGATGGAGAAGGGGAGAGGGCAAACAGAGGCTGGGGAAGGAGAGCGACGAGAATGGGTAGGTGGGGAAGGGGGAAGAGAGAGAAGGGGAGGAGGGGAAGGGGGAGAGACGCGGAAGAGAGAGGACGAAAGGGGAGAGGGAAAAGGGTTGGGGTTGAGAGAAGAGGAAAGGGGCGAGAGGGAAAGGGGGGGGAGGGCGAAGAGAGGAAAAGGGGAGTGAGGGAAGGGCTGGGGGCGAGAGAGAAAGGGTAGAGGGACAACGAGGGGGGAGAGAAGGAAAAGGGGTAGATGGACGGGGGAAGCGGAGAGATAGGGGAGATGGAAGGGTGGCAAGAGAGAGGGGAGACAGGGTAGATGGAGGGGCGGGGGGAGAGGAGAGAAGGGTAGATGGCACGGGGGGAGGGGGGAGAGAGAGGGGGACGCAGGAGAGAGAAAAGGGTAGATGGACGGGGAGGGGGGACGGGGGAGGGAGAGAGAGACAGGGTAGATGGACAGGGTGTGGGGAGAGGACCGGGTAGGCTGGACAGGGATGGGGGGAGGAGAGACAGGGTAGATGGACGGGTTGGGGGTGGTGGAGAGACAGGGTAGTGGTAGATGGACCCCAGAGGGGGGGAGAGGAGGACAGGGTAGATGGACGGGGGAGGAATGGAGAGAGAGAGATAGGGTAGATGGACAGGGGGGAAGTGAGAGAGACAGGGTAGATGGACAAGGAAGGGCGCGGGTATGCCTCGGGGGGTCGCGGAGGGGGGGAGGGGGGAGACGGGGGGGGAGGGGGAGAGGGAAGGGTCGGGGGGGGGAGAGAGACAGGGTAGACGGACAGGGGGGGGGGAGAGAGACAGGGTAGATGGGACAGGGGTGGGGGGGAGAGAGAAGGGTCGGTAGGAAGGGAAGGGGAGGGCGGAGAGACGAGAGGACAGGGGAGAGGGAGGGGAGGGGGGAGAGAGAGAAAGGGGTAGAGGGAAAGGGGAGGGGGGGGGAGAGAAACGGGGAGATGGAAGAGGGTTGGGGGGAGAGAGAAAGGGAGATGGGAAAGTGGTTGGGGAGAGACGGGAGAGAGACAGGGGAGAAGGGAAAAGAGGGGGGGAGAGGCGAGAGGGAGGTAGATGGACGGGGGAAAGAGAGATACGGGTAGATGGAAGGGTGGGGAGGAGAGAGACAGGGTAGATGGTACGGGCGGAGGGGCGAGAAGAGAGATGGAGAGAGAGACAGGGTAGATGGAGGGGGAGGGGGGAGAGAGCGAGGAAGTGAGAGAGAGACAGGGTAGATGGACGGGGGAGGGGGGAGAGAGAGACAGGGAGATGGACAGGGTGGGGGGAGAGACGGGTTAGATGGACAGGGTGGGGGGAGAGAGACAGGGGAGATGGACAGAGGGGGGGAGAGAGACAGGGTAGGAGACAGGGTTAGGTGGACGGGGGAAGAGAGATATATGGTAGATGGACGGGGGAGAGAGAGACAGGGTAATGGGGGACAGGGGGGGGGGGGAGGAGAGAGCCAGGGTAGATGGACAGGGTGGGGGGAGGAGAGAGAGCGAGAGACGGGTAGTATGGAAAGGGGGGGGGAGAGAGAAGGTGTAGATGCGGAACAAGAGGGGGGAGAGAGAGGACAGGGTAGGTGGACGGGGGAAGAGAGGATCGGGTAGATGGGAAGGGTGGGAGAGAGAGAGAGAGACAGGTGTCAGATGACGGGGGCAGGGGGGGAGAGAGGGGAGAGAGAGACAGGGTGGAGGGGAAGGGGGGAGGGGGGAGAGGAGAGAGGAGAGGACAGGGTAGTGGACAGGGTTGTGGGGGAAGAGAGAGACAGGGTAGTAGGACAGGGGTGGGGGAGAGAGGAGAAAGAGGGAGAGGGAAAGTGTTGGGGGCGGGAGAGAAGGGTAGGAGGGAAAAGAGGGGGGAGAGAGAAGGGGAGAGTGAGGGGGAAGAGAGAGAGAGGTGAGATGGAAGGGGGGAGGAGAGAGGAAAGGGGAGAATGGAAAGGGGCGGGGGGAGAGAGAAAGGGGAGATAGAAAGGGTGGGGGAGAGAGAAAGGAAGAGGGAACAGGGTGGGGGGAGAGAGATAGGGCTAGATGGAAGGGGGAGGGGGGGAGAGGGAGAGGAGAGCAGGGATAGAGGAGGACGGGGGCAGGGGGGGAGAGAGGGATGCGGAGAGAGGACAGGGTAGATGGACAGGGTGGGGGGAGAGCAGACGGGAGATGGACAGTGGTGGGGGGGGGGAAGAGAGAAAGGGTTAGTAGTAGATGGACAGGTGGGGGGAGAGAGACAGGGTAGATGGACAAGAGGGGGGAGAGAGAGAGGTAGATGGAAGGGGAGGGGAAGAGAGAGATAGGGTAGATGGAAGGGTGGAGAGAGAGAAAAGGGTAGATGCGACGGGGGAGGTGGGAGGAGAGAGAGAAGGGTAGATGGAGGGGGAGGGAGGAGAAGAGACAGGGTAGATGGACGGGGGAGGGGGGAGAGAGAGACAGGGTAGATGGACAGGGTGGGGGGAGAGACAGGGTAGATGGACAGGGTGGGGGGAGAGAGACAGGGTAGATGGACAAGAGGGGGGGAGAGAGACAGGGTAGATGGACAAGAGGGGGGAGAGAGACAGGGTAGATGGACGGGGGAAGAGAGAGACAGGGTAGATGGACAGGGTGGGGGGAGAGAGACAGGGTAGATGGACAGGGTGGGGGGAGAGAGACAGGGTAGATGGACGGGGGAAGAGAGAGATAGGGTAGATGGACAGGGGGGAAAGATAGACAGGGTAGATGGACGGGTAGGAGAGAGAGACAGGGTAGATGGACGGGGGGGGGGTGGGAGAGACAGGGTAGATGGACAGGTGAGGGGAGAGAGAGACAGGGGAAGAAAGTGATGAGTGGGGGAGAGAAAAAGATAACCTTTCAACAGAGCAGTAAGCAGACTCTTTCAACAGAGCAGTAACCAAAGATAATCACCCAGTGATTGAGTTTACAATATAGGTTTCCAACCCAAACTGTACAAGATACATTATAACCCTAGCACCTACACCTTTAGTGAGACTCATTAGTAAGCAACACCAACAGGTGTCATTCTGTAACACTGATAGACAAGTGATACAGCCAAGTAGGCCATTGTGTTATGATAGACCACTAGAGGTGCATTATGGGGTAATTATTCTTAAAAAGGAAGGATATGAACCAGATGATACAGGAGTCCATCACAGCTAGAACAATGGATGTGATGAGGGTGGGACCATTGTCACGACCCTTCAGTGAATACATACACACGTACTGAACATAATTCCCATAACTCACACATGAGAAAAACAGCATGCCATCTAGAAATGAAGGTTCACATTCAAAATGCAAGCTCACTGGAGGTAAGCAAGCTCAGGAATACTCCTTACCCCAGTGATCCTAAGCACACCTTCGATGGCAGCAAAGGCAAAGTACAGCACACCTAGCCCCACCACTCTGTGCATCACCGTACCCAGTCGAGGTCTGAGGGGAAACACACAGAATTGAGGAAAAATTACTAAATATAGACAGCACGATAAAGTCACTGGGGTCACCTATCAAAGGACAGTGTGTGATGACCTACATTTTCTCAACTTACTTGACTATGCCATATCCCAGACTAACAATAATGACCAGCAGCCGTGCCAGGGTTCTCTTCAGGGCAGAGATGAGCTCAGCAAAGATCAACAGGCCTTGAGCTAAAAACAAACATCCACATTAGAATTAATTCTCTCTCACAAGAGACAGAAAAACGATTTCTTGCTCAGAATAATAACACTCCCTAAACCTCCCACTTGGCCCTAAGCCTTCAATGTTTGCAAATCTGTAGGTAGAATGAATATGGTGGACTCCAACACTACACTGCTGATACCTATCCAGACCGTTCAGATCTGCAAACATTGAAGAGTTAGGGCCAAGGGGAAGGGGTAGGGAGGGAATTGGGACCAGATCAATGTGATCCGCTCCACCATGCTACTATACAGAGGATCTTAGTATTTTCTTTAAACCAGTCATCAGACAGTTAGGTGTAGTTGTAGTAGTGTAGACTTACAAGCTGCCCCGACACCGTTAGTGTTCTCGTACTCAGCACAGAACACAGCCTTCTCCACCATGCCCAGAAAGATGACTCCAGCTATCCAGAACTGGATCCTTAGTAAGTCCTTCCAGTAGCAGGCAGCCCACATGAACCAGAGTAACGCATACAGGATGTACACTGTACACATCACCATGTAGAACTGACAGAGAGAGACAGAGACAGAAAAATATAGGTTCTTCCAGTAGCAGGCTGACCACATGAACCAGAGTAACACGTACACCGTACAGGATGTACACATCACCATGTAGAACTGAGGGAGGGAGACAGGTGTTAAAACAAAATAACACACTGTATTTTTCTAAACAAACCACAAGGTCCTGTATGGTTCAGTTAGTAGAGCATGGCACTAGCAACGCCAGGATTGTGTGCTTGATTCCCACAGATGCTTTGGATGAAAGTCTGCTAAATGGCATATATCATTACATGAAGACAACACAAAACCCTGCAAGTGATGAGTGAGTAACACAGGCGTCTGATATCTATGACAATGATTAACCCTACACTGTATATGAGGCTAGAGACAAGCACTAGAAATTAGCTTATAATATATAATAATATATAATATAATATAATATGCCATTTAGCAGACGCTTTTATCCAAAGCGACTTACAGTCATGCGTGCATACATTTTTTTGTGTATGGGTGGTCCCGGGGATTGAACCCACTACCTTTGCGTTACAAGCGCCGTGCTCTACCAGCTGAGCTACAGAGGACCACTTGAGCTCAAAGTGTCATGGATCCCACTGTCGTTTATTCAATGTGTCACTGAATATATTTAATTGTATGTATACTCACGATCATGAGAGGCCATTCCGTGATGGAGATGTAGCCATGAGTTCCTTTCATTACGACGTTGACTGGAAATATAAAGAGTCTACATCAGCTATCCATAACACTGCAAATAATTAGGGTTACAACACACAACATGGAGCAATGTGATCAAAATGATACAGTAGCCAATGCATTGTCCTTTAAATCATTTAAATTATTTAGGCTGCCTACAGAAACTTAATTTTCTTCTTGGTAAGCCTCACAAGCAAGTTTAAAATCCCAACTATTCAAGAACTGGTTCATGTTCATTAGGGTAGATCACCGCAAAGATTTTGCAACAGAGTTCAGCTAATCACTTCCCATTTCAGTCAATTCTCTTCTGTTAGTTATGGTGGTCCCTCCCTGTTTCAGTCTGTATTCTTCCATCTAGTGCCTGATGAACACCACCCAGTTAAGGTGCATTGTGGTTAATGTAGTGAACCCACCTGTTAGATTCCAGTTGGCTTCCTGTTTGTTAGACTTAATCACCACCACCAGCAGATAGGGGCCGTCCTTCCACGTGGTGGCGATGACGTCATCTTTAAGTGACACATTGGCGTTCTTCACACCGCCGACTTTGTTGTACTCCTCCATCGTCCATTTTGTGTAGTTTTCGTCGGAGCCCTGGGTAGGATTGAACCAACATTTGCTTTGAAAGGGGGTTATATGCATTATGTAATGTATTTGAAGAACCCAGGAAGTTCTGAGAATCGTAAAAGTGATAGCCTGGTCCCAGATCTCTTTGTGTATGCTGCATATGGTCAACAGCAACTCCTATGGTCATTGACAACAACAGTATGAATTTGCAATGTAGCCGAAAGTAAGTGTGTGTGTGTAAAAAAATAAAAAAGATGCATCATCATAGTGAAACATCATGACCCCATCGTAGCATCTCACCGGTGCTGCCCCTTCCATGGGTGGGACAACTGGCCGTGGTTCTGCCTTGGCTTTCTGAAACAAACAAAGTTGTCATACAGTAAGTTGTCAGTAAGTCAAACACAAAGTTCCAAAACAAATTATTCTTCCCAATATATCATTTTCAAACTATTGAGGCGACCCGAAAGAAAACGTGGCTTGAATATTTCCTTTTCACACTTTCCTTTTCAGCACAGTTCCAGCAACTATGGAAGAGGAGTAACCTGGCCAGCTCAGTAGTGTGACAAGCCCTGTAATGGAACTCATGTGCGTAACCTATAAGCCCTTACATTTAGCATTGGGAAGTATCGCAGGTCAATGTTGCAGGTCAAGGGCTTGTGCTTGTGCTCAATGCATTCCCCTTGTCCTAGAGGGTTAGGATCCATACTCTGTCCTCGACTCAGTGGCGTCCTCTCATACATTTCCTTTAAAGTAATGATTTATATTAATATTCAATGTTTCACATCTTTTTAATACATAAAATAAACCATATTTATTAGTAGTTGAATGTAGGGAGATATACACTACCGTTCAAAAGTTTTAGAACACCTGCTCATTCAAGGGTTTTTCTTTATTTTTACTATTTTCTACATTGTAGAATAATAGTGAAGCCATCAAAACTATGAACACATATGGAATCATGTAGTAACCCAAAAAGTGTTAAACAAATCAAAATATACTTTATATTTGAGATTTTTCAAATAGCCACCCTTTGCCTTGATGACAGCTTTGCACACTCTTGGCATTCTCTCAACCAGCTTCACCTGGAATGCGTTTCCAACAGTCTTGAAGGAGTTCCCACATATGCTGAGCACTTGTTGGCTGCTTTTCCTTCACTCTGCGGTCCGACTCATCCCAAACCATCTCAATTTGGTTGAGGTCAGGGGATTGTGGAGGCCAGGTCATCTGATACAGCACTCCTTCTTGGTAAAATAGCCCTTACATAGCCTGGAGGTGTGTTGGTCATAGTCCTGTTGAAAAACAAATTATAGTCCCACTAAGCCCAAACCAGATGGGATGGCGTATCACTGCAGAATGCTGTGGTAGCCATGCTGGTTAAGTGTGCCTTGAATTCTAAATAAATCACAGACAGTGTCACCAGCAAAGCACCCCCATACCATAACACCTCCTCCTCCATGCTTTACGGTGGGAAATACACACGCGGAGATCATCCGTTCACCCACACCGCGTCTCACAAAGACACGGCGGTTGGAACCAAAAATCTCAAATATGGACTCCAGACCAAAGGACACATTTCCACCGGTCTAATGTCCATTGCTCGTGTTTCTTGGCCAAAGCAAGTCTCTTCTTCTTATTGGTGTCCTTTAGCAGTGGTTTCTTTGCAGCAATTCGACCATGAAGGCCTGATTCACAGTCTCCTCTGAACAGTTGATGTTGAGATGTGTCTGTTACTTGAACTCTGTGAAGCATTTACTTGGCCTGCAATTTCGGAGGCTGGTAACTCTAATGAACTTGTCCTCTGCAGTAGAGGTAACACTGGGTCTTCCATTCCTGTGGTGGTCCTCATGAGAGCCAGTTTCAGATTAGTGCTTGATGGTTTTTGTGACTGCACTTGAAGAAACTTTCAAAGTTCTTGACATTTTCCGTACTGACTGACCTTCAAGTCTTAAAATAATGATGGACTGTCGTTTCTCTTTGCTTATTTGAGCTGTTCTTGCCATAATATGGACTTGGTCTTTTACCAAATAGGGCTATCTTCTGTATACCCCCCTACCTTGTCACAACACAACTGATTGGCTCAAACGCATTAAGAAGGAAAGAAATTCCACACATTAACTTTTAAGAAGGCACACCTGTTAATTGAAATGCATTTCAGGTGACTACCTCGTGAAGCTGGTTGAGAAAATGCCAATAGTGTGCAAAGCTGTCATCAAGGCAAAGGGTGGCTATTTGAAAGATTTTTTGGTTACTACATGATTCCATGTGTGTTATTTCATAGTTTTGATGTCTTATTCTACAATGTAGAAAATAGTAAAAATAAAGAAAAACCCTTGAATGAGTAAGTGTTCTAAAACTTTTGACCGGTAGTGTACATTTCCTATGAGCAATGACGGGATTTAAAAACAACTCCTACAGTGCATAGTATAGTCAACTGGTAATTCACACCAACTGTCAAAATGTCTCAGGGTAGTAGGTTGGTGGTCTGTTGATATCCCTCTGGTTGTGTGGAGGCTGTGCTTTGGCAAAGTGGGTGGGGTTATATCCTGCCTGGTTGGCCCTGTCAGGGGGTATCGTCGGACGGGGCCATAGTGTCTCCCGACCCCCCCTGTCTCAGCCTCCAGTATCTATGCTGCAATAGTCTATGTGCCGAGGGGCTAGGGCTAGTCTGTTATATCTGGTGTTATTCTCCTGTCTTATCCGGTGTCCTGTGTGAATTTAAGTTTGCTCCCTCTAATTCTCTCTCTGTCCCTCTCTCCCTCCCCTCCCGGAGGACCTGAGCCCTAGGACCATGCCTCAGGACTACTTGGCCTGATGACTCCTGGCTGTCCCCAGTCCACCTGGTCGTGCTGCTGCTCCAGTTTCCACTCTTCTGCCTGCAGCTATGGAACCCTGACCTGTTCACCGGATGTGCTACCTTGTCCCAGACCTGCTGTTTTCAACTCGCTCTCTCTACCGCACCTGCTATTTCAACCTCTAAATGCCCGGCTATGAAAAGCCAAGTGACATTTACTCCTGACGTAATGACCTGTTGCAACCTCTACAACCACTGTGATTATTATTTGACCCTGCTGGTCATCTATGAACATTTGAACATCTTGGAGAAAAATCTGGCCTTAATGGCCATGTACTGTTATAATCTCCACCCAGCACAGCCAGAAGGGGACTGGCCACCCCTCAGAGCCTGGTTCCTCTCTAGGTTTCTTCCTTTGTTTCTGCCTTCCTAGGGAGTTTTTCCTAGCCACCGTGCTTCTACATCTGCATTGCTTGCTGTTTGGGGTTTTAGGCTGGGTTTCTGTATAGCACTTTGTGACATCTTCTGATTTAAGAAAAAAAAAAACATTGTAAAGTGGTTGTCCCACTGGCTATAAGGTGAATGCACCTATTTGTAAGTCGCTCTGGATAAGAGCGTCTGCTAAATGACGTAAATGTAATGTAAATGTAAGAAGGGCTTTTTAAATACATTTGATTGATTGATGTGGCACTGCCATAGGAATTCTAAACAAATGAGTCATTATGAAAATGTTCAAGGTATTGATAATGAAAGATGACTATGGCAAACACTCACTTTCTGCTCCACTCCCACATATGTCAGCCTATAGACATGAAATAGCCTATAACATAGTACTACCTTAGTTTACTTACCTCAATATTATTGAACTCGTTGTGACAGGGGTAGTATTTCAAGTACCATTGAATGGTAAAAGTCACCTCCTCTGGACAACCAAAGGACACAACTAAAAGAGAAACAATCAATTGAAAGAGAAACAATAAATTGTTGTTACCGAGGTAGTTCTTTGGGCGCTTTCATATCCCTTGTATGATCCGGATCCTGGAGCGTTTGGTACTCTGGCTGAAACTAATCCTGGACCTGCGTGAGTAGCGGGTCCAAGATCCAGGACCTGAGTACCAGGTATTGTGACACGGCAGCGTGATCGCATGGAACTTTTTGCCTGTTGTTAACAAGCTAATGTCATGTAGAATGTACGTCTCGCAAATCACACCCTGAAACTGTTATTTTTATGTCTTGTGAAAGTAAAACATTTTGTGGAATTCTCAAACGCTCCAGGAAACCGAACCAAGGTACCGAATTTCATATTTGAAAACGCCCTTAGGTGAGGCATTTTCCATATATAGTATGAGGGCAATTCCATGGTAACGAAATTACGCTGAGATGCAGATTTTTTACAAACAAAAAACATTTATTTAAAAGTTTAACAAACCATACAACTCATTGCACCAGGCCTACTTGTAAGAAATTGACAGAAACATTTACAAAAACACATTTACAGGAAGAATTGTACAGATACAATGTTTGATAAAACTGAGGGAGATTTTACTGTAATTCTGATACCAAAATTTGCATTTGCACAGTTTTTCCAGTATGTGTTATTTTTTTTATGTACTATGTAAATTGTTCAAAGTATTCATCGTGCATAGAATTGTATAGTTTACTAAACTTTGAAATCAATGGTTTTTGTTCGGCATACATTTTAAAGTGAAAATTAGGAGTCTCAGCGTAATTCCGTTACTCTGGAATTGCCAATGACAAACCACAATGACAGCAAACATAGGCTAATCTTACCTTTCAATTTGATATCAGTGTTTTTATACATAGATTTCCTCAAAAGCAATGGTCTTGAGGTCTGTGAAGAAGAGGAAACAGTGTTGACATCAGTTAGTTAAACTGAGTGATAGTCAGACCTGACTCTAGCGTAGGCCTAATGCTAGCACTGGAACAAAACCCAGGCACTTGTCTGGGGACGTATGTATCCAGCCTCTCGGAGTAAGAGTGATGATTTAGGATCAGTTTTGCCTTTCAGATTGCAATGAACAGGAATAAATGGGCGGGGGGACCTGATCCTAGATCAGCACTCATTCCTACTCAGACACTTTATATGGGCCCTGGTGACCATTATTGGGAGTCCCTAGGCAGGCAATGGCAGCTCTCACATTACTCTGCAACAGGATATGGTGGTTGACAGACAGACATTTTACCACCTCCATGGAAAATTGGGGGTACATCCTAATTAGCCTACCTCTCCTTCCTCCCAAAGTGTGCACTTGTTTACTTCACTGACTTGAAAAGCAAATGACTGGTAGACACGATGTTTGTCTTACCCCTTCAGTTCATTGGACATTGTAGCTAGCTAGTCTACCAAATAGACTTCTGGCATAGCCTAGTTAGCTACATGTTCTAATCTGGACATTAGCTAGCTTAATGGTTGGTAGACTTCTCTTCTATCGGGGCTAAATGGCAGGCAATGATCTAGCCCAGTACAGTACAGTGGTCTCTCTGTCTGATGTTTGTTTACAAACCGCTAGCTAACGTTATATGTATGTAGTTAGCTGCCTAACCTAGCTGGGATATGTTTGGGCAAAACATTAAGAAAACATTTGGGGTAACGTTATATCTATGGTCCAAACTAAAACAGCTAACCTAATTGTCCGAGGTAGCACGTTATATATCATGCTTACTAACCAGATAGTTAGCTAGCTAACGGTAACATTACCTAATAATAATAATAATATGCATTTAGCAGACGCTTTTATCCAAAGCGACTTACAGTCATGCGTGCATACATTTTTTTTTTTGTGTATGGGTGGTCCCGGGGATCGAACCCACTACCTTGGCGTTACAAGCGCCGTGCTCTACCAGCTGAGCTACATCGCACCACCTACTTGACAGTGCAATGGCTTGTGCAGATCGATAAAGCCTGAATATGTTCAGGAAAATGCATTATCAATCAATACTGTTAATGTTCCATTTTATGAACAGAAAAACGGCCTTAGGCATGCAAACATACGCTAGCTTGCTAGCCCGGATGAATCGCACTGTTGTTCTAGCTACTAGTTAGCTCGAATGCTAACGTTAGCTTGACAGCTAGCTAAATTGAATCTTTTAAAACTCACATTGACAACTGTAATACTCCATTGTCCCGGTTCTGGCGCTGCCATGACCCCGCTATTTACATCACCTAATAAAATGATCCCTGTCAAAAGAAGGAGCCAGGGTTTCACTGAGTTAGCCTTGCTGTTCCACGTCCTCACCCGTCCAGAAGCAGCCATGTCTCCAGTAGCTTGAATGTTGCGTGGCTGGCTGGCCAACTCACCTGAGCGGAATAACGTCACACACCTGCGTATCTTTGAGTTGACGTTTTGGCATTAGATGCATTGCACCATACACCATGTAACGCAGTGCCAGTGACAATATACTTTATAAAAACGATAGCAACTTGAAATCTGTTATTTATTTCCCTTTCTCTGGTCATCATCATGTTGTGTGTGTATTTTATTCATTCCAGGATGGATTTATTTTCAGGGTCAGATTGCAAATACAAAAATGTGCTATCTTTAATCAATCGTTTATTACATCATGACAAAATCATGCAAATCACTAACAAGTCAATATCAACATTGACTATATTTAACAAAAGTTGTACTTGCATTAAAATCTTTAATTTAAACTATTAGATCTTGTGCACATTCACGGGTCCACTGCCTAACCTTGGTGGAGTGCCTCAAGGCTGTACAGGGTCCTCGGAGACCCAAAACGGTTTCTTTTTTTTCAGACTATAAAACATCATATGTACACAATACTATATATACACTTAGTAGGTAAAGTTCATATACACAATGCCACTTAAAAAATATAAAAGGCATTGTACATACAGTTTGAATGCAAACGTTTAGTTGGCCTCTTGATTGTAATGGGAGTGTAGTACTAATGACTTATAACAGTGGTTAGCCATATTTATGCCTTGTTCACAGCTTTCAATATCTGACTTCATTCTTGAGCATTGCTTATTTCATTGGAAATACTGTATACTATAAGAGAGATGTGCAAATGTAGCATCTCTTATGTACATCTCTTGCATTAATAACCATTTTAGGTATAAATATCCACTGGAAAACTGGTCAGAATTATTTCAATGCAAAGCATTGGGGAATAGACAAGCCTATAATACTGTTTTAATCATGCCACAAGACAGAATCATAGAAATAGGGATTATATTTCTATGGAAACAGGGCAGATCCTTGTTGAAACAGGAAGTGTAGCAACTCCAGACTGCACATGCTGCACCAAGCAGAAGGCCTATGTGCTCATGATCCACAGTAACATCTCTTCATACTGTAACAAAATGAGGGAGTAGCACGATATTCCGAGGCGTGATTCAAACCCAGTACCATAGTGTCCAGAGCCAGACACGTTACCGCTGCTCCAAGAAAGCTAGCTCCCTTGGGTGAGCGGTAATCGTGCTCATCAACGGCAGGGTCATTACCATACCTATAATGTCCTCAACAGACCAGAGTGCAGACAAGAAGGATATGTATTATCATCAGACATGATGCCTGAGAGAGAGCTTTTATTTTATCTTTCTGGTTTAAAATCCCTGGATTCGTAGTCCCAATATTCCACGCTCTTCAGAGTAACAGCGTGGTGTCACTCGCGTGCTGCTCCATTCCAGTGACATCACCCACTGAGTCACGAGTAGCTCCACCCATAGCCCCACACAAGCCCTCCCTCGAGAACAGGGGAGTGTCACTGTCCACAGCTGCTACTGCTGTTGTTGTTGCCGTGGTCATGGCGACAGCAGGGTCCCCACTCCGATTGGCATTAGAGATGACAACAACGTCACGATCATCTTCCTTACACTCGTGGATGTCCGCTGTCACCAGATCTCTGTTAGTTGGTCTCTGACTTTGACTGCAGGAGGAGAAGGAACTGGAAAGGGTGAGATCAGGTCTCTTCTGGCTGCAGGAAGGGGAGGAGCTAAACTGGTGGCAACAGGAAGGGGAGGGGCTGAATTGGTTGCTATGATTGCAGGAAGGGGAGGAGCTCAAAAGCGGCAAATCCTGGTGGGGGTTCGCACAAGCCCCATGCTCCTCCTCAGGGAAACTGGTGTTAATGTAGATGATGTCCTCTTTGCTGGTAGAAGCCTCTGGAAGTTTCTCTGTCAGCTTCTCCAACAGTTCTCTTACCTAAGGGAAAACGGGAAGATTCATATTTACGCAGTCAAATTGCACCCTATTCGTTATATACACACAAACTCTCTCTCCTCTGCTCTTGTCCTTCTAGACCTGTCTGCTGCCTTTGATACTGTGAACCATCAGATCCTCTTCTCCACCCTCTCCGAGCTGGGCATCTCCGGCGCGGCTCACTCTTGGATTGCGTCCTACCTGACCGGTCGCTCCTACCAAGTGGCATGGCGAGAAGCTGTCTCCGCACCACGTGCTCTCACCACTGGTGTCCCCCAGGGCTCAGTTCTAGGCCCTCTCCTATTCTCGCTATACACCAAGTCACTTGGCTCTGTCATATCCTCACATGGCCTCTCCTATCATTGCTACGCTGACGATACACAACTAATCTTCTCCTTTCCCCCTTTTGATAACCAGGTGGCGAATCGCATCTCTGCATGTCTGGCAGACATATCAGTATGGATGACGGATCACCACCTCAAGCTGAACCTTGGCAAGACGGAGCTGCTCTTCCTCCCGGGGAAGGACTGCCCGTTCCATGATCTCGCCATCACGGTTGACAACTCCGTTGTGTCCTCCTCCCAGAGTGCGAAGAGCCTTGGCGTGACCCTGGACAACACCCTGTCGTTCTCCGCTAACATCAAGGCGGTGACCCGATCCTGCAGGTTCATGCTCTACAACATTCGGAGAGTACGACCCTGCCTTACACAGGAAGCGGCACAGGTCCTAATCCAGGCACTTGTCATCTCCCGTCTGGATTACTGCAACTCGCTGTTGGCTGGGCTCCCTGCCTGTGCCATTAAACCCCTACAACTCATCCAGAATGCCGCTGCCCATCTGGTGTTCAACCTTCCCAAGTTCTCTCACGTCACCCCGCTCCTCCGCACACTCCACTGGCTTCCAGTTGAAGCTCGCATCTGTTACAAGACCATGGTGCTTGCCTATGGAGCTGTGAGGGGAACGGCACCTCCGTACCTTCAGGCTCTGATCAGTCCCTACACCCAAACGAGGGCATTGCGTTCATCCACCTCTGGCCTGCTGGCTCCCCTTCCTCTGCGGAAGCATAGTTTCCGCTCAGCCCAGTCAAAACTGTTCGCTGCTCTGGCACCCCAATGGTGGAACAAGCTCCCTCACGACGCCAGGACAGCGGAGTCACTCACCACCTTCCGGAGACATTTGAAACCCCACCTCTTTAAGGAATACCTGGGATAGGCTAAAGTATTCCTTCTACCCCCCCCCCCCCCCCCCCCCCGAAAAAAAATAAAAAATGTTAAGTGGTTATCCCACTGGCTATAGGGTGAATGCACCAATTTGTAAGTCGCTCTGGATAAGAGCGTCTGCTAAATGACGTAAATGTAAATGTAAATGTAGATAAAAAAGGGTTCCAAAAGGGTTCTTTGGCTGTCCCCATAGGCCTCCTGTAGCTCAGTTGGTAGAGCGTGGCGCTTGCAACGCCAGGATTGTGGGTTCGATTCACACGGGGGGCCAGTATGAAAAATGTATGCACTCACTAACTGTAAGTCGTTCTGGATAGGAGCGTCTGCTAAATGACTAATTTATAGGAGAACCCTTATTGGTTCCAGGTAGAACATTTTTGGGTTCCATGTACAACCCTCTGTGGAAAGGGTTCTACCTGGAACCAATAAGTGTTCTTCTATGAGGACAGCCGAAAACCCTTTTAGGTTCTAGGGTAGCCTAGCGTAGAGCCAGTAACCGAAAGGTCACTGGTTCGAATACCCGAGCCGACAAGGTAAAAAAATCTGCCGATATGTCCTTGAGCAAGGCCCTTAATCCTGTGCCGACTACCATGGTTGACCCTGTCAAACTCATTCCAAGGAGGGCCGAGTGTCTGCAGGTTTTAGCTCCACCCTTGTACTTGATTGATGAATTGGTTGTCTAGGTCTTAATTGAAAGGGAAAACCTGCAGACACTAGGCCCTCCATGGAATGAGTTTGACACCCCTGCTGTAAAACAAAATTTCACCACACCTATCCGGTGTATGTGACAATAAAACATCTTTTTTTGTATCTTTTTTTTCTAAGTGTAGTGCACTACTTTTGACCATGGTGTCTGTCTATGGCTTGCATCCCAAATGGCACCCTATTCCATATATAGTGCACTACTTTTCACCAGAGCCCCATGGGTACTAGGGTGCCATTTGGGACACAACCTTTGTCTAGAGCAGCTTCCCCAGCATTTCTCTCACCTGAGTGAAGACGGGGCGGTCCAGGGGGTCAGCACGCCAACAGCTGTACATGATCTCATACCTGGTGGACAGACAGGGGGACAGGAGAAGGAATAATGTCATTTCCATATAAAAGGACCCATGAGCACCAACATGTGAAGTTCATAGGAGCATGTCAAATTGGGTGTCAAGTGAAAGCTAAGAGTCTATATTTTTGTTGTTGAAATTAAGGCATAGAGTTGAAGTCGAAAGTTTACATACATTTAGGTTGGAGTCATTAAAACTTGTTTTTCAACCACTCCACACATTTCTTGTTAACAAACTATAGATTTGGCAAGTCAGTTAGGACATCTACTTTGTGCATGACACAAGTCATTTTTCCAACAATTGTTTACAGACAGATTATTTCACTTATAATTCACTGTATCACAATTCCAGTGGGTCAGAAGTTTATATACACTAAGTTGACTGTGCCTTTAAACAGCTTGGAAAATTCCAGAAAATGATGTCATGGCTTTAGAAGCTTCTGATAGGCTAATTGACATAATTTGAGTCAATTGGAGGTGTACCTGTGGATGTAGTTCAAGGCCTACCTTGAAACTCAGTGCCTCTTTGCTTGACATCATGGGAAAATCAAAAGAAATCAGCCAAGACCTCAGAAAAAAAAGTCTGATTCATCCTTGGGAGCAATTTCCAAACGCCTGAAGGTACCACGTTCATCTGTACAAACAATAGTACGCAAGTATAAACACCATGGGACCACGCAGCCGTCATACCGCTCAGGAAGGAGATCTCCTAGAGATCAACATACTTTGGTGTGAAAACTGCAAATAAATCCCAGAACAACAGCAAAGGACCTTCTAAAGATGCTGGAGGAAACGGGTACAAAAGTATCTATATCCACAGTAAAACAAGTCCTATATCGACATAACCTGAAAGGCCGCACAGCAAGGAAGAAGCCACTGCTCCAAAAACGCCATAAAAAAGCCAGACTACGGTTTGCAACTGCACATGGGGACAAAGATCGTACTTTTTGAATAAATGTCCTCTGGTCTGATTAAACAAAATTAGAACTGTTTGGCCATAATGACCATCGTTATGTTTGGAGGAAAA